GAAATGGTAGTAATTTATCACAACCACGATAGTAGTAATCTTTCGACACGCACCCGGCGCTGATTGGCTGAGATTCTATCGGAAACGTATTCTGATTGGCTCGAATTCCTGACCCGGCTCCTCCACCACCACCGACTCTAGTTTTTGCTTTATTTGTGCTACGTCATTTACTACACAGATTTTACACGATGAACTAAATTTATAACAAATAAACCATTTTTAGTATGGTGGGGTCACATATTAATATAGCTTACTGAGCCGTTACGCGACATAAGGTCCTCCTTTACGGCAGCGAAATGTTGGATGGTCTCCTCAAAGATGAAGAACCCTATGGTACCACAGAAAGATACCAAGCATATGGACCGAGCGTGTTGAGGTCTTGGAGCGGATGAAAATAAGAAAGAGGCTTATATTTAACATCAGGAAGAGGAAGCTGAAATTTCTGGGACCCGTATTGAGAAAGGAGGGCTTGGAGAATCTGATACTCAGGGGCCGAATAGCGGGAAAGAGAGACAAAGAGAAGGCCCAAGAGCAAGTAGACGGGTTCATAATAAGAAAATCCACCCCAAGCAAGATGATAAGGCTACCATGATGCAAGAGGGGGGGGGTGTAACGGAAAATAAAGAGAAAGAATAGATTTTAGAAGAATTCGGAAACAAGGAATTAACCTCTGCTCGTATTTAAAAGACCAGGGAGGAGTGTAAACCGGACGATGACTGGCGGGCTTTTAGATGACAGAACGTGGTCTGGGGTAGGTGGCAGAGGGACGAGAGTTATTGAGAGCTACAAAAAGACAGGGAGAAGTGGAGAGCCATGATCGCCGCGTCACATAAAAAAGAAGTCAGACGCTGTTGTTCGTTGAATATCCAAAAAGAAAGCTTTTATTTCGAATATCTTTGGCTAATTTTATGGCTCGCGGTAGCAGAACCACTATACATTACAACCCCCCCCCAATTAAAATGTCGAGATAATATATTTAGAAGGCATTACTCTCCATGCTCTGACATACGGGCACCTATCGGCGTACTATGGCTGATACTACAAGTGCTGCTGGTGAAGCGTCTTTTGTGATTACTATGGAGTTGTAAAAAAAAGCGGTAAGGTCACATTCTGACGAGTAAATTAGAGGGCGGGGCTTGCGCGGGACCGTTGTGCGCATGCGTGTGTTTTCACGAAATGCGCGGGAACGTGACTGACTACCCAGCCAAACACAAGAGTTGCGTATGTACAAAGATATTGTTAGTGTTTACATACGGGTAACTAATGTTTTTTTTTTTCTTTTTCTTTTCATTTCTTCCTCTTCTCTTTCCTATTCTACCCACACCCCCCTACCCGTCCGTTTGTTGCAATAAGAATTCCTTTCCTGCCTGCTTAATGTCTGACGTTTTGTCCTACTTTCTTTCTTTCTTTCTTTCTTTCTTTCTTTCTTTCTTTCTTTCTTTCTTTCTTTCTTTCTGTCTTTCCATAATATTCATTATCTCTCTATCTCAGCGTATTCATTATCTATCTATCTATCTATCTATCTATCTATCTATCTATCTATCTATCTATCTATCTATCTATCTATCTCAGTCTGTTCATTATCTATCTATCTATCTATCTATCTATCTATCTATCTATCTATCTATCTATCTATCACAGTCTATTCATTATCTATCTACATATCTATCTCAGTTTGTTCGTATCTATCTATCCATCTATCTATCTATCTATCTATCTATCTATCTATCTATCTATCTATCTATCTCAGTCTGTTCATTATCTATCTATCTATCTGTCTGCCTCTCTGTCTGTCTGCATATTTATATATATATATCTTTCTTTTACTTCTTTATTTTTTCTAATTAACTTTTCTTTGTTACTTTCTTTTTTCCATTTTCTTTCTTTCTTGTTAATATATATCTAACTATGCTCACATCGGCTCTTTATTCATTCATTCTTTCTTTCTTTCTTTCTTTCTTTCTTCGGACGTTCCTTTCTTTCTCTTTCTTTTCCTTCTTTTTTGCTTGTCTTTCTTTCTTCTTATTGACTGCCTTTCTCATTCGGCTTTTTTCGCTTCATCTTTGTTGATTTTTCGGTTGCATTTCTTTCCTTCTTTCTTTCTGTCTTTCTTTCTTCCTTTCTTTCTTTCCTTCTTTCTTTCTTTCTTACTTTCTCCATTCCTTCCTTTTTTCTTTCTTTCTTTCTTTCTTCAATATTCTTTTTTTTCTTTCTTATTCCATTCTTTCTTTCTTTCTTTCTTTCTTTCTTTCTTTCTTTCTTTCTTTCTTTCTTTCTTCCGTTTTTCGTTACTTTCATTCTTCCTTCCTTACTTTCTTTCTTTCTTACTTCATTTCTGTCTTTCTTTCTTTCTTTCTTCTTTCTTCTTTCTTTTTTCTTTCTTTCATTCTTTTTTCTTCCTTTCTAACTTTATTTCTTTTTCCTTTCTTTCTTTCTTTCTTTCTTTCTTTCTTTCTTTCTGTCTTTCTTTCTTTCTTACTTCCTTCTTTTCTTTCTTACTTTCTTTCTTTTTCTTCCTTCTTTTCTTTCTTTCTTTCTTTCTTTCTTTCTTTCTTTGCTTTCGTTCTTGCTGTCTTTTTTTCTTTCTTTCTTTCTTTCTTCCTTCCATTCTTTCTTTCTTTATTCTTTCTTTCTTTCTTTCTTTCTTTCTTTCTTTTTTCCTTCCTTCCTTTCTTTCTTTCTTACTTCTTTCCTTCCTTTCTTCCTTTCTTTCTTTCTTTCTTTCTTTCTTTTTTCCTCCTTCTTTCCTTTCTTTCTTCCTTTCTTTTTTCTTTCTTCCTTCCTTTCTTTCTTTCTTTCTTTCTTTCTTCCTTTCTTTCTTCCTTTCTTTCTTTCTTTCTTTCTTTCTTTTTTTCTTTCTTCCTTCTTTCTTTCCGTCCTTTCTTCTTTCCTTTCTTTCTTCCTTTCTTTCTTTCTTCCTTCTTTCTTTCTTTCTTTCTTTCTTTCTTTCTTTCTTTCTACCTTCCTTTCTTTCTTTCTCCCTTTCTTTCTTTCTTCCTTCTTTCTTTCTTTCTTTTTTTCTTCCTTCCTTCCTTCCTTCCTTCCTTCCTTCCTTTCTTTCTTTCTTTCTTTCTTTCTTGCCTCATTCTTTCCTTTCTTTCTTCCTTTCTTTCTTCCTTTCTTTCTTTTCTTTCTTTCTTTCTTTCTTTCTTTCTTCATTTCTTTCTTCCTTTCTTCCTTTCTTTCTTTCTTTCTTCATTTCTTCATTTCTTTCTTCCTTTCTTTCTTCCTTCATTCCTTTCTTTCTTCCTTTCTTTCTTCCTTCATTCCTTTCTTTCTTCCTTCCTTTCTTTTTTCCTTCCTTCTTTTCTTTCTTTCTTTCTTCCTTTCTTTTTTTCCTTTTTCTTTCCTTCGTTCTTTCTTTTTTTCTTTCATTCTTTTTCTATTTTTATTTTCTCTCGTTTTCCGTTGTTTTTTCTTTCATTTTCAGTTGACATCCTTTTTTTGTTATTCTTTCTTTCTATTTCCTTCATTTTTCATTCATTATTTCATTCTTTCTTTCTTTTTTGGCTACTTATTGATTTTATCTTCCTTTACCTTAATCTTTCTTTCTTTCTTTCTTTCTTTCTTTCTGCCTTTCTTTCTTTCTTCCGTTCTTTCTTTCTTCCTTTCTTTCTTTCTTCCGTTCTTTCTTTCTCCCTTTCTTTCGTTCGTTCTTTCTTTCTTTTGCTATTTGTCATTTTGTGTTCCTTTACCTGGATCTTTCTATCATCCTTTCTTTCTTTCTTTCTTTCTATCTTTCTTTCTTTCGTTCGTTCTTTCTTTCTTTTTTTGCTACTTATTGATTTTGTCCTCCTTTACCTTAATCTTTCTTTCTTTCTTTTCACATGGAGAAACATGTCCTGCTACTTTCCCCTCCATCTCACTATTTTTTCTCACACACTCTCCTTTTCCTCCCTTATTTCCTTTACCTTTTCTCTTTCAATCATTACCCCTTCATCATTCCCTCCCTTTTCTCTCTTTTACTCCCAACATTTTCCTCTCTTCCCTAGGATTTCTCTTCTCTCTCTCTCTCTCTCTCTCTCTCTCTCTCTCTCATTCTATCACTTTCTTTCTAGTTTATACCTCTCTCTCACTTTCACTACCCTTCTCTCTCTTTCTCTAATTACTTTCAGTCCCTTTTTTTCTTCTTTCTTTTCTTCTTTATTTCCTTCCTTCCATTAACTTCTTCATTCTTCCTCACATCTTTTCTCATTAATATCAGAATGTCATTTAATAGCTTAACTTCGTTCAAATTATTCTAGGCCAGGGGTAGACAAACTTTTCAGTGCAAGGGCCACATTAAAAAAATTTGTGGGGCCGCATAGTATATTAACCCTAGGTAATTAATATTTAAAATAGACAAAAAAAAGTGGGGTTTAAAGAAAAAATTCAATTCATTTTTATTATTTAATATTTTAAAGTACTGTGGAAGATTCACATGAAACACATTTATTTGAAAGACAAAGTAACTCAGTTTAAAGTACTTTAAAGAAAAAATATTTATATATATTTATATATATATATATAAGTTGAAGATTTACATAAAAAACACATTTGAAGGAGAAAAGAATCTTGTTTTAAGAAAAAAATTATACTTATTAATTAATATTATAAAGTAGAAAGCATTTATTTGAAAAACAATGTAACTCTGTCTAAAGAAATAAAAAAACAATTATTACTAATTAATATTTTAAAGTAGAAACTTCAAGTAAAACATATATAAAGTAATTAAATTTAAATCAAAAAATTTTATTTCGATTTTGAAGTAAAATCTTCACGTGACACAGATTTATTTAAAAAACAAAGTTACTCAGCAATAGAAGGATCTCAAAGACTCAATGAGAATAAAGTCTCAATAAACCCTGTTCTACACCCAGGCTTTTTAACAGAAGTTGAGCAACAATGCCTAATGCCAGTAGTTATCGGGGAGTCATCCCAATTATGGAATCCCCGGGATCATGGCTCTCCATAAAATTAACGTATTTTCTATGCGAAATACGCCAGTAGCCCGGAGAACTCAATTCGTACTTGAAGAGTAATGCATTAATAGCAACAGGGGATACTGTTATATATATATATATATATATATATATATATATATATAGTGTGTCCATAAAGTTCGTGTGAACTTTAAAAAAAATTATAAATTTATTTGTATTTGCGATAGAAATAATCTGTAAAAAAAATGTTATAAAGTTTAATGTACCTAATATTAAGTATAGCTGAAATGAAACGAAAAATAATTCATTAAATTTATTTTTAATTTTTCATTTTTCGTTTCATTTCATTTTTGGAAGTGCTATCTGATGATCCGGCGTCCTTTAAAAGGGCTCTGGTGAAGTAAATTATTATAATGGTACCTTAAAGTGGTCTGTTTTTCTTTTAAATATTAGCTCTGGATTTACATTGAGTTCTCAGGATTTCATCTTCCTTGGGATTACCCATACGGATTACCAAGTTCTTCATAACTTAATTATATATATATATATATATATATATATATATATATATAGTCTTAAGGTGTGCTATATTTATGGAATAAAGTGCTCAATATCAGAGATAGAGCGTGTGTAAATATAAAAGTGAACATAGAAGTCAACACTTAGAGGCAACAGTCCGTTTCATGCTATATATGCAATCGTGGCCTGAAGATTGCATATAGCATGAAAACAGAACTGTTATGTTGACTTCTATATTCACTTATATATATATATATATATATATATATATATATATATATAGCAGTAGCCACTTTCTCCAGAATCGCTACTGAAACGAGAGCACTATAAAAATATATTGCTGGTAATTTTTCTAATGTATTTATATATTTTCATAACCTTTGATCCTTTGTTTGGGTGGGGGTCACTATTTGCCCATAGCTGCGACCTTAACAGGTGCTGTTATCTCGGGTCAGGATTGACCCAAGAACAACAGCAATTAAGAGCTGGTTCTACGCTTCTCAAAGCCTCCCGATCAGAAGCCTTGCTGCCGGATGTAGTTTATCATTAAACCCAGGACAATTTTAGATAGTATTTTTTTTTTAAATAATAATGATTTTAGTGATGCCTATCTTACTAATTAACCCTGGGGAAGAGAAGAATATAAGGAAGCCAACGGGAATTCGAACTCGGCTCTCCGTTTAACATTTCCGAGCCATTATCCATTACACCACCTTTCTTCCAAACTTACAGCACCTGGTATTCCCAAGCGGTCACCCGTCAAGGTTTTGACCAGGGTTGACGTTGCTTAACTTCGTTTATCGTAAGGGATCCGATGTTTCAACCTAATGTCGCCGTCCTCTCATTATACCGCCGACACATCCAAGATTACAGCTTCTTGTATTCACACGCTATCACCCATCTAGGTACTGACCAGGTTCGACGTTGCTTACCTTCGGGGACCAGTGTTTCTACATAATGTACGAAGATTGAAAGGTATAAGGAATAAAATGAGAAGATACAATACAAAGTGTTACGGAAGAGCGGAAGCATCATTGATAATCTTAGTTTTATTGAAAGGGATAAGGAACAGAATGAGAAGATACAGGCAAACCGTAAAAAGACACCAGAGGTTTGAGATAATGAATAATTTTACTGTTCAACACCTGTAGAATTCTTACCGGTCCCATTCAATCCGATTCAGCCTGAATTATTTTTAAAGCCATGCTACGGCAACACAATGGGACCCAGCCTGATCAGGCGACCCACATTATAAAGTTTATGGTAAATGGTATTATCTGGGACTGAAGTATTTATATCTGGGTCGGCAGTAAAATGTAAAAGCGATAGTTTCATAAGCGACCGCCCGTTTGCAGGAAATAACGAAAAAGGAAACCTTAAATAAATAAATACCGTGTTTCCTGTATG